GCAAAGACTTCATTCCGCAATTCTATGCTGGAAAAGAAGATTTCATTTCAAGTGAATCATTGGAAACTATGACTAGCTCTCCTCAACACGAATGAGCAATTTCATTTTCAAAGACAAATTAACTCCAGATGACTAGACGTCCTCAACACGAAGGAACAATGTCGTCCACCGACTATCTCTTCAACGCGAAAGAGCAGTTTCATCCTCAGACAATCAGTCTTCCTCAACGTGAAGGAACTGTGATGTCTCCAAATTATCTTATAAAACGGCTAGATTTCCTCAACACGAAGGAAAAATGTAATCCACCGACCATATCTCCTCAATACGAAGGAGCAATGTCATCCTTAGATAATTAGACTTCCTCAACGCGAAGGAACCATATTGTCTCCAATTTACCCAAATACTTCAGAACATCTTCAACACCAAATTACCTCCATATTGACCCAACTTTCTTAACAAGAAGGAACATTGTCATCTTCAGCAAACAATTTACCTGAAAGTGGCTAAAACTCTTTAACACGGATGAGCAAAGTCATCTTCGACACCGTATTATCTCCGGATTGACCTGATTTCCTCAACGAGAAGGAACATCGTCATCTTCAACAAACAATTTATCTGAAAGCGACTAGATCTTTTCAACATAGATGAGCAGAGTTATCTTCAACACAAAATTTTCTCCAGATTGACCCGATTTCCTCAACGATAAGGAATAACGTCATCTTCAATAAACAATATATCTGAAAGCGACCAAGATATTTTCAATATAGATGAGCAGTGTTGTCTTCAACACCAAATTATATCCAGACTGACCCGAAGTTCTCAACATGAAAGAGTAGTGTCATCTTTAAAACCTCTATTTTTAGACAAAGAATTGGAGCTCCAGATACAGAGCAAACATCATAGCCAGACAAAATTAGGTCATTATATATCTTTGCTTCGTCGTTGTTTACACAAAAGACGAGAAAAGAGGGACAATTGTAATACCCTAATTTTATCCTAAAATTAAAAAACGAGCAAAATATAAGGAGTGAGGAGAGGTGAGCAAGGTTATTTTTTTTTATTCGGTTTAACGTCCCTGCTCGTCGGTCGGAGTTTAGGGAGGCCACCGGTGGGATGGTCGGCAGCGTGAGAAGCCATGCGACTCATGGTGGAAACCAGCATGAGGCCTTGGCCCTTGAGAAGGTCAGCTGTGAGCTGAGGAGAGGGAAGCTATTCACGTGAACTGGTTAGTTTGGGGGTTTGTTTTAAAGTTTTTGGTTTAATCGCATGACAGACCCCCATTTCATCATGTCTCTTACTTTGGCTACCCATTTTATGGGTTAATCGCCCATAAGTCCTCTCGGTTTCATCGTGTTTCACGCTATGGTCACTATGAGAGAAAATCAAACGTCAAGTCCCCAGTCTTGGTATGTTATTTTTTTGGTCACTATTATGCTATGTTATTTATTTCAAGTTAATTATTAACTTTTATTTTATTGCACATTAACCACTGACTTTTATTTTCTTGCTTTCTAACCATTGCTTATTTATTTATTTATTTATTGTTTTTCATATTATTCGACCTTGTGGTGACCTGATCTGGGGTGCGATCCACATTATTATGGTCCAGACCCACCTAACCACTAACAGCTTACTTTTCTAACTTACTAACATTCTAACTTTTATTTTTATTGTTCTTACTAACTTACTAACATTTTATTTTATTGCACAAACTAACCCGCTAATTTTCTAACATTCGAATATTCATAAACCTTACGGTGACCCACCCTGGGGGACGATCCGCATTATTTATGATATGGGTTAAACGGTTAAAAACAACCCCCTAACTTTTATTTTATTTGTTCATACTAACATACTGACTTTTTTATTTTTTATTGTTCTTACTAACATTTTATTTTATTGTACAAACTAACCCGCTAATTTTCTAATATTCGAATATTCAATTACCTTGTGGTGACCCGCCCTAGGGGACGATCCGCATTATTTATGGTACGGGTTAAACGGTTAAATACAACCCCCTAACTTTTAAATGTATGCAATTTATTTCTATTTTCTATTTTATTTATTTTTCCAGCACTTTAAATTCCAACATTTTATTTTTCTGTGTTTTAATTTTCTTGCATTTTTATTTCAGTCCCTTTAAATTTCCAACACTTAATTTTTAGTATTTAAATTTAAGCATCTTAATTACACTTCATTTTATTTTAGTCACTGATCTTGCCTGTGGTATATTTACATCTAATGCTACACTTTTCATTATTTACGTGTCAAACTTATTTATTTATTTATCCTCTTATTTGGATGGTATTTTAATCTTGGTTGTTGGTTTATAAAGTTTGCATGTTGGTCCCTTGTTTATACTGGTAGGCTATCGATGTTTGACTCGTATTTTAGATTCAAAACCGAACTTGGTTATCTTTATTATTACTACCCTTTTAAGCGCATATATATATATATATTATTTAAACCTTATTATATATATATATATATTATTTAAACCTTATTTTTTTTATATAAATCAGTCTTTTTGTATATATGTAAATAAGAAAATTTTGTTGTGGGAGAGATCTATGAAGACATATCCTAACTACAAGGGAAAGTGTCTTTCGAAGATTTTTTCGCACAAAAGTTTTTGTATTTTATAGTCTTCTTTGTTTTACTTTACTTTATTTTATTATTTTTTTATCTCGTTCTATTTTTATTTTGTATATTATTTTATTTCTATTTTTATTTTGTTTATTATTTTATTTTTATCTTTGATATAAGGAAAAATGTGAGGCAATGTTTTTTCCCAAAAATCTATGGAAAAGTCTCCTAACTACAAAGGAAGTGCATTCTCGAGGATTGTTCGCACAAAAAGGCATTCTTTTATCTGAACATTTCTAAAAATTTAATATAATACTATATTCTTTTAAACTATATCATCCATAAAATTAAAGAAACTCCATTTTGTGAGGGGAATCCATGAAAAAGTCTCATGGCTATAAAGGAAGTGCATTTTCAAGGATTGTTCATACAAAATGATGTGATTTCTCTTATAAAAATAATTATCTTTTTTTGATTAAATAAATATCTTTATTCTATAAAATATATTTTGGGCTCTGTAATTTTTTGTACCCATTGCATTTTTCATTTGTCATCAAATTTTCATTTCCTTATTTACAAAAGCAACGTTGCTTTAGCTCTTTGAAAGTTGACATATTCTTAAATAAATTCGAATGAATAGAAGGATCGTAGTTTAAATATATTTTTTGAGTTTGTAATTCTCAATATTTAAACATCATATAATCGTTTAGGTACCAAGACTTGGGTGTTGTGGGGGTGCTCACCCTTCCCCACACGTAATCGACTCCCAAACTCTTAAAAATGAATTTTTGGTAAAACGCAGACAATTTTTCGTCTTTTAATGATTTTTCTAAACTCATTAAAATGATATTTTAGGTATTCAACCTACCTAACTCAAAGGTTGATGACGACTCCAAAATCAAATCGTTTCAAACCTAAATTTCATCATCTTCCCCCAGATATAATTTTTTAAGTCTAACGAATCCCCGAGGGAGACGTTATGACAATTCACATTCGCATTTGGAATACAAAAGTTATTTTGATCCGGTCTATCAATTTTCGCAAGTATTCAAGGTATATGAATTTGAGTTTTCCCATAGGTTATGAAAAAGACACATATGAGATTCAAACTTACTTACAAATATATAAAATCTGATCTTATTAAGGGAACCACGTCGTCCAAAATCCAATCGAATTCATTATAATATGGATATTTGAGAGTAGTCAAAGAAACTTAAAAGATGTGGGCATTGTAGAAACCCATGCTATAATAGAAAAAAGTCCATCTCTTTTAGCATCTATCAAGAGTGAACCATAATTATGTACTTTTATTTTTTTGTATTGTATTTTTTGATATTCTATTTTATGTTATTTTAATTTTTAGTATGTATTCTATATTTTTTCATATAAATATTAACGAATTTATGTACTTTTTATTTAGTTTTATTCTTTTAACATTTTACATTCACAGTCTCTTAACTTACTCATTTAGGGAAAAATAATTAAATGATATGAATGATGTAAATAGAGGACTAAAATATACATAATTAAAACTGTTAGGTCTTATATTTGTACTCAAAATAATTTAAAATACTAAGCAAATCTTAACCATAAATCGTAAACCCTAACCCTAAAATCAGAGTGGTATTAATGGAGGTAAATGTGCGTTCTGCATAAAACATCTTTCACGTGTGCTACCAAATCAGTATAAGATGTGTTCTACATAATACACCTTTTCTACGTATGCTTAAAGCACGTTTTGTAGAACGAGTTTCATATGAAAATTGTGATGATAAATATTGATTAAAGAGAGCTGTTTCGGTATATAATGACATTTTTTATATTTTTAGATAAAATTGTTGTTGTACACTATATTTAATTTCTTTCTCCATTAATTTGAACTCATTAAGTGACTTCAATTGTCAAAGGGAGTATTATTTTTTCGAGGGATCTTGAGTCCATTCAACTACGTCTATAAGTGAGTATACATTCTCAATGACCAATAAAATTTTTAAACATATACTATATTTTAATCAGCCTAGAATACTTAAAAAAAAAACTCTCTAATAATTTAAACATGTCTAAAGAGCTAAAACATTAAATTTATATAAATTAAAATAAAGTCATCATTACATATGAATTTAACCTATTGTATTAAACGAATAATACAATGGATCTACCATGATTAATGATTAAACAACACCTAAAATTTCCCAATTTCCGGCCTCCCATTAAGCCAAGAAAAAGAAAAAGTTATTTCAGAATTCAAACTTCGTCTTTTACAAAGAGAGAGAGAATAAAATAGTCAAGTGATAGGCCATGTGAACACTACGTTCCACCTCTCTACCTCTTTTTCTTCTCTTGTTTCTCATAGAATTAACACCATTATCAACCATTCCTCGTTGTGTTTCTTGTTTCTTGTTAGAGAGTCGGCAATGAGCTCCATCATGCACAGCTTTCAAAGGAGCCAAGCCCTCCCCGTCTCTCAAACCGAATCAAATGAGCAGCCGCCATTGCCGGCGTTACGAAGGAGGCTTTCCTCTTTGTCTCTTAAGCTACACCCTTCCACCTATTCACCATCACCGTCGTCATGGGCGTTCCCCAGATCCAAGTCCTTGTCTTCCATGGGGGACTACGCTGGTAGTTCCATCAGGAAATGGTGGGATTGGGGATGGTCTTGGGTTCTTTCCAGGAAACCCATGTTTGCCCAAGACCTTGAAATGAACGAAGAAGAAACTAGGGTTCTGGGTTGCCACAACAAAGGCAACTGGATGCATGTCTTTTACAAGATGAGATCTGAGATCAAGAAACTCATGGGATCTGATAAGGTTGGCCTCCCACAAACTCGCAGGTATGATTCTTTAGCCTACTCCAAGAATTTTGGCAAGGAAAAGAAAATCTATGGTTGATCGTTTGGGTTTTCGGAATGCTTGAATGGAGGTGTTCGACGAAATGTCTAAATGGGAATGAATTATCAATTCGTCGCTTCATGATTCAGATCATCACATCAGAAAAACTGCAGAATTCTACATTCTATATTCGTTTTTTCTTTTATCTTGTGTTCTCTTGTTCTGTTATTTCTTGGGTTTTCAGATTTTCTTTTGTTATCGTAATCCAAATGATGAATCGTGAAAAAAAATATTTTTTCCTGTAATATAATATGATTTATGTGTTATTGGAGTGTATTTTTTTCATTTATTTAATTTTTGGCATCGTCAATGGTATAATTACGATAAATGTTGTATTTCTTTTATTTATTAATGCAATATAATATTTAGATCTAAATTGCTCAATATGCAAGATATATTGTCCCATAGAAAAATACAATCGAAAAGTATGATAGATTTAGTGGTTTTGTTTACATTTAATTATGAGTAGAGAAAATAATATGCATATTATATAAATTATTAAAAAATATTTAATATATTTATATATAAATGATATGACATATTTTAGAATATGATATTAATATTCAAAATATATAATAAAATTAACTTTAAAAAAATAAGGGGCATACAAGTACATATGGAGATATATGAGCCGCTTTCTAAAAGCCGTCGGTGGGAGAGATAATATGTGCCATTCCAGTGATTTGCCAGCACAGATAAGGTTGGCTAATGAACATGTGATTTTGCAAAGCCGGCAATGACCCATCAAATTCAAACCGGAGGCCTCAATTTTTAAATATTCATTCTATACATTCATAGAAATTACTTTTGACTAACTCATTATTATTAGTGGGAAATTTTTTCCCTGTTTTCAACCAATACTAATTACTTGGATTCAGTTCAAGCAGCAATCAAAGCGTCGGTGCCCCCGTTTCCTCAACAAATATTGATAGGCATAGTTGTTTTGTGTTAGACAAATAAAATTTTATTTTTTTTCTAAAAATTCTATTTTTTTAATTTTAAATTATATAAACTGAGTCATTTAAGTTCGTTCAGATTTTTATTCAAATTTTAATTTTAAATCAAATAAAACTTTAAAAGTAAAAAAATTAAAACTAGATTGACATCATTTTAGTTTAACTAGGTAAATAATTCGCTTTGTAATTTTATCAATTATTTCTATTTTTCTTTTATTTTAAGTTTATTTTTATCAAATTTAAATCTTATATTTTTCATTATTGTAGAATGCTTATATAGATTTAATTACATTTTTTATTATAGACTTTTTTTTTACAATTTAGTCTTTTAACTTTTTTGGTTCCTTTACTATTTTTTTTTTTCAATTTTTCATCCATTTTAAGTTCATTTTGATCAAATTTGAACAACTTCTCCTCTTTCACTGTAGAATAATTATGTAACTACAATCCCTCTTTGTGATAATAAATGTTTTCTTTCCTCTATTCAGTCCTTAAACATTGCATTTTATTCAATTTCATCATCTTTAATTACAACTATTTACATATTTTTTATTCTCTAATTCATTAACTCCTTTATACTCTCATCAATTTTCCTCAAAATACATTCTTTAAAAAATATAAATATAAATATATTAAAAAATTTATATGATATTTGTTTTACTAAATAACATTACAAATCTCACTTACACAAGCTAAAAGAATACGGAGAAATATATATGTACATCATATATGACTAGAGATAATTTTTAAAATTTTTATCAATTAGTAATAATGATAAATAATTACATTTAAATTTTAATAGAAACTCAAACAAATACATTTGATTTGTCTTGACTCAAATTTCATAAACACAACACGATTCAAAAAAGAGTCAGAAAATTTGAATGATAAAATGATACTCGTAAACTCGACAAACTCAAATTTTTTCTACATGACATGATCGAAAACACACCCTAATTCAAATAAGTAAAAAATAAAAGTATATTTTACTTTATTATTTAAAATATTTTTATATTCATATTTGATATATGGCTTAAACAAATCAATTCTCGAGTTAATAATTTTGATCAAATTGATCCCTAAACTTTTTCTTTATCAATCTAGCCTTTAAAAATTTTCAGTCAAATTACCGTATGAATTTAACTAATATGGTCATTATCCCATGAACTTTTAAAATTTGTGTTGAACACTTTGACGAGCCCAACTCACCCACTACAGAGGACCTATGATATATCAGTAACATTACACCAACTCTTTTGACGTTGGTTAGCCTTTTATCTTATGAATTCTTAGTGCACAATAATACTTAGGCGACATGCTAACCATATATCATTCAGGTGGCAGAGCCGACCGTATATCAATCAAGCGCTAACCGATCATATATCAATCAGGCAGCATGGCTGACCATATAATAAAACTAATACAAGTGCACTAAGAACTTAAAACAACTAAGGCATAATTGAAAAACTTAAGAAAAGAGAACATTTTCATTAATACTAAAGTACAATTACAAGATGACATCATTACCCCACTATTTTTCTCTTCTCTGCCTCTAAGCTCTCTTTCTCTAACTCACACTTTTGACACTCTTTTCCCACATTTTCACTCTTACTACAATGGTAAAGATCGCCCTTATTTATAGATTCTAGTGACTATTGGATTCTTAACACATGTAAACATCTTAACCATTTCATATTATAAATATCTATATTAGTTTATGGATAACTATATATATATATATATATATATATATATATATATATATATATATATATATATACATATATACAAAATGACACTTATAGATTTCCCTAGAATTTATATTGATTTTTAACTCTCATCCGTAATGCAAACTTCCTTATGTGGATGATTTGCTGACCATTCCAAGTGTTTCTCTAAACTTCTCAAACTTTGGTCAACTCAAACTCTTCGTGAAAATATCTACAACTTGTCCATCTGACTTTTTGTGGCACCATCTTGATTTCCCTTTCAAGGACCTTCTCGCGAACGTAGTGATGGTACACTTTATATGTTTTGTCCTTGCATGAAAGACTGGATTCTCTACTAGACATATGGTTGATAGGTTATCGCCAAAAGGTATTACTTGATAATCTATTGGCTAATAAATATCTTCTAATAGTTGCTTCAACCAAGTACTTTCTTGTGTTGTATGCTATCGATCAATGTTCTGCTTCAATGTTTGATAATGATATTGTTGTTTGTCTCTTAATACACCATGATATTACTTCTGATCCAAGAATAAACATGTATCTCGTTATCAATTGTTTCTTATCATAATCTCCAACATAATCAGTGTCACAATATTCAACCACTTGACATTAATTTGTTTCCTGTAGAAAATACCAAAATTAATAATGCTTTTAACATACCATAAGATGCGTCGTACTACGTCAAGATTAGGCTTATTTGGATTTCTCATGTATCGAATAGCTACTCTAATTGCATAAGTTATGTCTAGTCGACTTAGTGTGAAATATATAAGACTTCTGACCATGATATTACTCCTAATCCAAGAATAAACATGTATCCCGTTATCGATTGTTTCTTATCATAATCTCCAACATAGTCAACGTCACAATATCCAACAACTTGACATTCCTTTGTTTCTTGTACAAAACATACCATAAGATGCATCATACTATGTAAGATTAAGCTTATTTGGGTTGCTCATGTATCGACTAGCTACTCTAATTGCATAAGTTATGTCTGGTTGGCTTAGTATGAGACAGATAAGAATTCTGACCAATTTTCGATATATTGTAACACCTTTTAAACTTTTTCCTTTATCAGCTTATAATTTATATTAACATCCATAAGAGTTGAGATAAGACTGCAGTAAAACATCTTTTACTTATGTAAAAAATCCTTTGCATATTTTTACTATCCTATAAATAATCCTTCATTCGTGTGCTCCACTTAGAGGCCAAGAAAATGCTTGAGTTATCCAAGTTCCTTTATATAAAATATAATAGAATGATTTTCTATTATTGTTTTTTTTTTGGATTTCCTAGTAATGATCTCTCATGATGATTAAGTAATCCATATATACTAGCATTATGGCTAGTTTTTCTTGATTTTATTTCACAAATAAACTAGAATTTGAATGAGAAACTATAAATCCACTTTCTACCAAAAACTCACCGATTTTCTCATACTATACTCTTGGAGTGTATTTTAAGCCATAAAATGTCTTATTTAGCTTGTAGACATACTCGGGATGGATCTTGCTCTCAAAGCCTCTCGTTTCTCTATATAGATGTTCTTGTTAAGTTACTCAGGTTATTAAAACATTCTTGATATCCATCTGCCACAACTTCTAAGACTTGCTAGCAATCAAAGCTAGTAAGACATGAATTGTTGTAATTTTTGCAATGGGCCAAATGTTTTGTAACGCCTTGATTTTTGAGTTAGTAGTTTTGGGTAAACCCAGGTGTGTTTTAAGTAGAACAAAACACCATTAGTTGTGTTGGGTTAAGTTTGGCTTATTTTAGTTTGGGCTTGAACCCATTAAGGCCCAAAAAGGTGTTTTTGAACTAGACCTAAAAAAATGAGGACTAGGAGAGAAAATAACTCCTAAGTTATTTCAAAGGCTAAATTTCATTAAAAGAAGATGATGTCAATATGTAGACTTCTCATATATCTTTTTCATCAACATTTGTCTTCTTTCTCTTTCCATCCAAACTCAATTCTTCATCTCATATATTGTAGTTGAGAAAATATGATAACTTTGTAAACTTCACTTTCCAATTCAAAAATCTAAGTTAAGAAATAGAATCCACAATCCTCTAGCTTCTTCTTAAACTCATTTTTTTTAAGTTTTGGCAATGGAAAACCATAAGTGGGGTTTAAAGTAGGTTTTGGATTTTAGGTTCCCTAGTGTTCCCACTCTATTTTTAGAGATTTAGAATCATGTTTCTAACCTTCATAAGCCTTTAGATGAGTTAGTAACTCATTTTATTGCTTCTGATTAGTGAAAGAAATTGGGGAAAACTCCAAAGGCAAGAGAAAAGAGAAAGTGGTACT